CTTTTTTCCGGCACTATTTTTTTTTTTTTAGTCTGAGTGATGATAAAACTTTAGTTTATTCCGAGGGAAACGGAACGGAATGAATATGTGTAATAGAATGGGATTATATGATTGTCAGAAAGTATAGTAAATTGTTTGTTATAATATATTGCTAAGAAGCTTCATGTTCATTCCGGTTTCGATTAGAGTACTTGTTTTTTTTTCCGGATTTAATGCTTCAAATAGTATTAAGTAATTTATTACCTGATAATACGATACATGTTTATTTATTTATATGTCGAATATGCTGAATATTGAAGTGTGAAAAGAAATTATCCTGAAATAGATTAATGGCATAAAATGAAATGAATAAATCTTCAAAAAAAGAAAAAGAAATGGAAATTCAAATTTGAACTCAAAAATTAATTATATATGTATATATGTAAATGTATTTATTTGATGGAGAATAGAAAGTTAATGGATTGAAAGAGGGAATGAATAAATGTGAGATCGGAGAGTGCAAACTGCAAATGCTTATCTGTGCTCATTTTATCATCGGTCACTCCTGATGATTGCCCTTATCAATAAAGTAAAAACTAACATTGACTTTGAATAGATGTATAGCCACAGATGACTTCAGGCTTATTTATTTGTTTATGAGCATAAATGATAGCCAGAGATGACTTCAGGCTTATTTATTTATTCATGAAAATAGATGATAGCCAGAGATGACTTCAGGCTTGTATATTAATTTTATACTCATTGTAATGTATTCCTTGTACTCCTTGTAAGATGTCCTTTCTATTTTTTTTTTTCAGTTTTGCTTATTCCGTCTTTCCTATTATATTACCAAATTTATTGGATATTTGATATTAGATTTTCAGTTTTTTAATACAAATTTAACTTTTCCTCCTTTATGCTCTTCCATATTTCACATCAATTTTCATCCATCTCTAATAATTTAATTTCATATTCAATTTCTTTTTTTTTAAATGATTTCTTATATATTTTGTTTATATTCAAATATGGATGAAATATTAGGAATTATTTCATTTTTTTATATTCTGAATATTTGTTTTTTGTTTTTTTTTAATTCAAATTCTTATTGTTTAATAAGTTTCATCTTTTAATTTAAAAATCTGAAATAAATATAGCTAAAATAGATAGAATGAAAGAGTGCTATTATAAGATTAATTAATTAATATCTAAACTAATGTCATTGATAATATTGTTTACAGGGTGCAGGATCTCGCTCAAGTGGTTTACCACTTCAGAGTAGTTCATCATCATCTTCTTGCTCTAATACCGCTTTGCAAGGAGTTAAACGGCCATCTAATCGTACACCTCAATCATCTGGTGTCCAATTAAAACAACCAACAAATCTTGATCCTACCAAAAATAAACGGTTAAAATTTCGATCTTTAAATACTTTCAAATATCTAAGCATAATATTATCAAAAATTAAATCATAGCATATAATACCATAAAATTTGTATTAGGATAATATTACACCATATCATACCATTATTACTAATTAATGGTACTTTTAATGTGTAATACCAAAATAATTCTAACTTATGGTACCATAGGAACCTGTAATTATCAGTACTATCATATTTATAACGTATCATAATGTACTTCTTAGATGATATGATTATTTCATATGATGAGATTAAAATTCGATTACATCTTTTGACGTAAACGTCTGTTTAATTTTTGGTTGACGTCTATCTACTTTTCGGTTAGCGTCCATCCACTTTTCGACTAATTAATATCCACCTACTTTTTGGTTAATTAACGTCTATCTACTTTTCAGTTAATATCCGTCTACATTCTTTCAATCACAATTAGTTACAATCATTTAGCAACATGAAATGAATAATTTATAATTATTTCATTTAATTGAAATGAATTTCAAAAAAAAAAAGAAAAGAAAAAACATATAAAAAAACAAGAATGAAATCTTTAGTTAAGTAAAAAAAAAATTTTTTTTAAACATCATTCAAAATCAATCCTGTTATAATTTAAAATATTTGAATAAGAAATAAATTTAAATTACATAAAATAAATAAATTGGTAAGGTGGAAAGGAAAAACAAATCAACAATTTTGTCAATTTTTTTTTTTTTTGAAAAAATTTTCTACAATTTATCTTCATCTTCTCAAATAATAAAATATAAATGAATGAATGAATTGATTTAAATTAATCCAATAGAAGAGAAATGAAATGAAAATGGAAATATTCAACAATTGATATTTTTATTGAATTTTGAATTTATTTCTTAATCTTATTCAAATTTACTAACAATAAATGAATAAATGATATTATCTATTATTATAGATTTTCGAAAAGTTCCGAAGAGGATTCAGCATATGCCGGTTTTGGTAGTTCATCACCAATTTCATCAGCTGAATCATCATCAATGAGTCTTAATTCAACATCATCAAAGAATTCATCCTGTAGTGGTATCACCACCACCATAACTCATCCAAAACCACGAACATTATCTACTTTAACATTTCAACATACCAATAATTCTAATCATCGTTTTAGTGGTGGAATAATTCAACCACCATCAAGTCCACATGTATGATATTTTTACGTATATATTATAAAATATTATCATCGATTTTTTTTATCATATCAATTTTTATCATATCATATAATTATTTAATGTAAATATTATGAATTAATTTTTATTGTTTAAAAAATTTGTATAAATAACTGTACGTTATACATTTCGAAAAGAAAAAAATATATAATTATTAAATTTGTTATTATTAACAAAATTAAATAAATAATAAATGAATTTTTAATTTTGGTATAATAAGTTTAAAAAAAAAATAAAATAAAATAAAATTATACAAATATAAATTGCATGAAATGATTAATTGAAAATTTTTTTTTTTCTTTTAACATTAATTTGATATTTCTATTATGTAACATTGTACTATTCTTTCTTCTTTTTATTCTTTTAATTCATAAATTTTAATCTAAGAATGAAAAAAAAAGACGAAAAACGAAGAAATTAAAAAGGACAAAATTTGAATTAATTTGGCGCAAAAAAATGATTGCTTCAATGCATTTCTATTTATTAATTTTATTGGCTTATTTTATAACTTTTTTTTTTTAATTTAAAAAAACAATTTTTCTCGATTCAATCCTTTTTTTCTTTTTCAACTTTTTCTCAAAATTTCTCTTATTTTTAGATATTTGTTTTTCTTTTTTCGTTTAATTTATCGCAGTTATTAAATATTAACACAGTAATGGATAGTTGTTTATACAATGAGATAATTTTAGAAATTTATTAATTTATCATCTTTTTTCTCCAATTTTATTTAATAGAAATAAATTGATGTTAATCATCCCTAGAAAGTAATATCAGTTAATTACTAATATGCTTATCATTGTTAGGATAGCCAAAAAGCTTAGTCTTAACATAAATAGTCTAATTATCAATGATAATAACAGATACGTTTAGCAAAATTATCTGTTCAAGATATTATAATTATATTTGTTTGAGAATCTTAATTCGAATTAAATAATGGTTTGATCTTTCAAAATAGCCTAGTTTTTGTTAGAGTGGAAAGAAGAATCTATGATAATTAAGATAGTTCCTTTATTCTTTTTTATTTATTTATTTTTTTTC